CTACGGAAATAACTCATAAATAATCGAACAGTTGACACTCAGTGTTGAACAGGAAGTCCAAAAGAATCGACACAGAGATATGCCACTGGGTTATTAAAAATTTCCAGGGGCTTATTCGAACTTTTCTAGAGAGAAACTGTCAACACCTGGAGCTTATTATAACTCAAATTGCCACCGCCTTACCTGAATTTATTTTGCAATGACAGTTTTAAATAAATGTGTTCTTTTAAGCAAAAACATGGTTGATTATCAAACTGAGTTTTACATTTTACCGAATGGTTGATTTTCTTCACTTTGAAAATTTAACGTCCGTTTAGTTGAATTGTACTTGTTCGAAGTTTTATAGAAATTAGTGAATAGACGACAGAATATTGCCCTTTAAATGTGCTTTTTTTTTATCTAGACACCCCATATTTGTCAACTTTCCGAAGTACTACTTTTGCCTAAGCCCAGGGTACCGAGTGCCAATTTCTGGATAGTGTTTTAAAATATTTTTTTTAACCTGTGGGCTTCCCAAAAATCTAATCTCACTGTCTGGGGGTTTTCACCTCATTTTGCATCTAAGGTTCCCTGGAAAACCTGACCGAACAGCTGGTCGCCATCGCTAGTGGCCAAGAGTTGGGTGATATGCTGCTGACCGTGTCCGCTGATCTGAGGCTCGCTCGCTGGAGTCTACATGACGGGGGGCTAATGTGGAGCAAGAAATTGCCGCGCGAAGGCAATGAGGTTCAGGCTCTTGTGTCTGTCTATTACGACCAGGCGGCACTGGTGGTGGCAAAATTCACAGGGAGGCAGACTGTCACTTTGATGGTGCGTTGTGCTTGAGAGTATCTGAATTCAGTCCATTTTAAAGCCATTTTGGCGACTTTAAGAAACTGAATGCCCTAGCGGCCACCTTATCGAATTAACCAAAAAGAAAAAGTGTATTGCCCTTTAACAAATAACACAAAATTATGGTTCTGCGAATTAGACAATGCCTTATTAGCAATGGAGATATTGCGGACTGTATAAACTATTTTCCTCAATGTTGTTTTATAATACAGTTTTTTTCTTTCTGTCTGTGCGTCCGTCTGGTTTGCTCTTCTCAATCAGCCTCTTTATCTTTATCTTCTTTCTTCTCTCTGTTTCAGTCTTCGCTCTCAATAGCAAGACAAAATCAATGACACACTCCTTTTTTTAAACTTCATAGAAATTAGATGAGAGACAAAATTATTTCAACACGAATCTCACCTTGTGCATGCCAAGGACACATTTAGCAGCCGTGAAGAGAGATGCAAAGGAAGGGAACTGTTCCGTTCACTAACATGTCATTCTGGGCAAAAGTATCATAGATTCAGTTTCTTTATACAATTTAGGAAAAAGGCATGTGCTCACCTTTTCCGTAAATCTGTCTTCATTGGTCTCAAACGTGTCGATTCCTCTGGTTCTGATTTCGTTTTACGTCACACGATATCATTTTAATTGATCTGCTGTACTGACGTGTGTTAATTTCACCCGTTCATTTTTCTAAGTTCCTCTTTCAGCGTATGAGTGTCTTGGAGAACTTTCCCAGATTTAGTTAAGAAACGTTATTGTTGCCCAAGTGGCAGACTACATGATTTGTTCTAAAAGGCCTCAAGGGAGAGTTTCGATTCAGAATTGTCCAGAAAAATGACAAGAATCTGATATCAAAACAGAAACGTGAAGCCCTGGAATCGGTACGTTATTGCTCTGTCTTAGAGGTTATTTGCTGGCAAAGTGGAGGAGAGTTGTATGAAGGTGAATGTTACTTGCGTGCTTATGTAAGAGGGTGTGTGTGTGCGTGTGGGTGTGTGTGTATATTTGTGTGTATGTGTGTGTGTATGTGTATGTGTGTGTGTGTGTGTGTGTATGTGTGTGTGTGTGTGTGTGTGTGTGTGTGTGTGTGTGTGTCTGCGTGTACGAGTGTGTGTTCATGAGTGCGCGTGTTTGTGTGAAGACATTTTTCCTATTACTTCCAGTTGGTTATCCATTCTATAAAAACGGCATTGTTTCCTAGGTGATATATACTGGAGAGGGACAGACCAAAACGATGATCCGTCGTGACGTCACAGCATACTGGATATCACGTGACAACACAAAGATCATCATGATGTGTGAGCAGCCGCAAATCGAAGGTATGGTGTCATAAATTCAGTATAGATTTTAGTTAGCCCAGACTCAAAATGTACGTTTTCGTTTTTCAGATTGTTAGAATAGGCGACCACTTTTAGTTCTGTGGAAATAGAGGTTAGCTTTCGTTTTCTTTTCTCCATTGCCTTTTTTGCTTTCTTACTTGTCCAGATCTTTATAAGAATCCACTCTTTAAAGGTGTAAAACTTCCTTACTCAAGTACCTCATATCAAAGGCACATTTAGCGCCCGTACTTACGCTTCAACTTGTCGATTTAGATATCAAGTTAATTTCGGTTTCTAAATTTTTGTTTTTTAAAAATAGTCTGCCTACCGTAACTTTCAACAAACCATTTTCTATTCTAATCTATGTCGTGTATACGAATACAATGCGGCTGTTTTACTGGAGATGTATTGATTTTTTCCCTCAAGAATGATTTTTTTCGTCCTTTTGATTAATAGTTCTTCATATTTTAAAACGCCCTTTTGTGAATAAATTCACAGATAAGCGCTTGTTTCTGTGGGACTTGATCAACGGGCAGGAAGAGACATGGCAGTTCAGCAACCTTCAAAAGTTAGGTGACGATGCTTCACAGCAATGTCCTTTCTTCGCTGCATTTTCTCCCAGCCTCAACCAGTGTATCCGTGTAGACGTTCCCCCACCTGAAAGCACTACCACTCACTCACCTCACCCATCTGGCTTTGATGGTAGACGATCACAGGGGTCTGTGAATTCAAATCGCCCTGTCGGAAATGAAGGAGATTCCCCTTTTGCTGTTGATGGCCAGTTGAATGAAAGCTTCGATGCTGTAGAGAATGACAGATTTACTTCAGAAGACGCCAGATCACCTGCAAATAACTCTAAACAGCCAATTAGTGTTGAGTCTAATGTTGGCCCAGCAGCGGCTGCCGACAGTTCACGCGGCAGTAGATGTCCTTCTCGGGTGTCGGAGACGCCTCAACCAAGACCTGGCTCTGGCGATCAGAATAAATCAGTTTTTGGTGATGACGATGGCTTGATAGAAAAAGAGATCGAGAGGAAGACGACAATCCATTGGAGTAAAGGAAAAATGGACCCGAAACCGGAACAAGAGACGCTGATGGTGCCACGATTTGATAAGTTAGGAAGGAGAAACTCCTGGTCCATAACGTCGAGAGCTGGTTTTGGCAGTAGGTCAAGGATACCCGTAGAGTACTTCCCCAGGCGAGCAAGCCTTCATATTGATGGAAGCGGCAAACTCGTGCCTGAGAACATCAAGACCAATGGTGGAGATTCCCCTGATGACGTCACCGAGACTGAACCGACTGAAGCAAACTTCACACTACTCGTCACCATGTCGACCATCAGCTTTGTCAGCGACGAGCATGTCCTTGTGGGTACCACAACAGGCCACGTTCTGGTGCTGAAAATAAATTCGTTCAATACTTTCTGTGTTCTGGGAGTGAACGAAGACCCACTCTTGCTGCCTGCAGACAAGAACAACATCACATTGAGAAGAATCTCACCACCCCATGAAGCAGCTGTGACCTATGTGGCGTCCTCCACAGACGGTTCGTCTTTGGTCAGTGCAGACAACAGCTCCATCTGTCTCTGGGATGTGGCTACTCGTATGCTCAAAATGGAGATACGCCTAGACCCCGGCCAGCAGGTACTGTGATCCCGACAAGGGCTGTTTATGGGTGATACTGTCGTGTTTTCTTCCATATGGTGCTTTTTCTGAGTGTAACTGTCTTTGCCTTCATCTAACAACGCCTCCCCATCCCTGCAGCATCCCCCCCCCTATCC